TTGGGTAGATAAATACTTTTAGGGTAACTTATTAAACCTAATTCAGTTGATAACTCCAAGCTCATTTTGATTGAAGAATCTGATAGATTAAATATATTTTTTAATAATTAGAATATGTATTCAAAAAAGGTATTAATTTAAATTAAAAAAAGCATACATTGTATAATAGTAATTACCATCATTAACATATGGTGTTTGAGAATCTTATGATAAAGAAAGATCTAAGGAGGAAGGAATCTCACTTAAAGAGAATAAAATATGAGGAGTAATATAGTTTACCATAGTCTTAGTTTTATTTCTAATTATGCATTCCATTTCCCTTATAGTAGATCAAATTAAGGGATTACATTAGATTGTCGATGCGCTTTTTGAATTTTCCATATATACTGAAAATAAGCCTAAATGATGTTGCTTTACTATTGGAATTGCATCATAATAATATTTTTATTTGAAATCAGCTTAGAATAATTTTGAATTTATTGCACTGCTCTTAAAAAATTAAAAAATGCGGTTTCTCCTAAAAGGGGAATCATAGTCGATTCACTAATTGAATTAATTGCTTTATTTCAGGAGAAGTCCTAATTATTTACATGGCCAGAAAAGAATATTTTTTTAATGTGCCATAGCGATTCCTTAATATCAAAGTTGGATAAAAACAATTATTTATAAACATATGATGATCATAGTTTTAGTGCTTATATGATTTATAGTAATGGAATAAGCAAGACTCAAGTAGAAGGCAATAGCGTTTTAGAATTTATTACTCAAATAAATTGAAAAAAATAATTGGAAATATCTGGCAAGTTTAGTAGCAATTAAATATAAATAGTTGTTTAACACTTTGTAAATGCCACCCTCAAGTTTAGGAAGTAGGGTATTAGAATGAATTTCATATTAAAATGTTTTATAAGTATACTTATTTCTTTATCTATAATATCCAGGATTAAACCGTAAAGATATTTCTAGGTCTCATATGACAATTTTTTATTTATACTGTGGAGGATTTCTATTAATATTCAACAAAATTTTGTAAGGAAATTAGATGCAAATTTTTAATTAGTGCCAATAAGAAACTACGAATTTATATAATAGAAGACTTTATGGCAATTCAAGAATTTCTAATAGAAGACCAAGAACTACACAAAATAAGTGATTTTAAGTAAGTCCCCTTCATCAAAGCTGATAAGTATTTCTCCTCTGTTAAGATTTCAGAAAAGTGCATTTTCATTATCAGCAAACAAGATATTATAATCTTTTTCAAAACATTCTAAATAAATTGTATAATCTCTTCATCATCTTCATTGTTTTCAGGTATCAAAAATCTCCTTCAAAAATAACATTTTTCATTCTCAATTTACATTTTGTGCGTTACTGTTCAAAAAAAACAAATAGAATATTCAAAAATATTGCTTTAACTATGAGGCAAAAATTTCGATAAATTTATATTTTAGATAATTTTCATCTGCAGCAATAGGAATAATATAATTATCTACCAAGAATTGTATATAAAATAAAGGTAAAAATTTTTATGTCTATAAATTAATTGTTTAGTAATGGAATTCTTTATTAAATATATTAATTCTAACTCAGAATAGGATTCCACTTTACTTTTTTAAAACTTTTATTGTCTCATAAATAGAAAGATAACAAAATTTAATATTGTAGAAATCAACGAATATATCAATTAAGCTATTATTAATAGTTTTTCTTTCAATAAAGAATCATTATTCTAAATAGGTTAAGACTTAAGAAAATGAATGCTATGTTAAATTTTGATTTTATTTATTTTTATCCAAGATCTTTATGATTTTAATTCAAATTGAACTTGTTTAAAAGACAATGCACTTTATGATTATTTAGGTTGTTAGAATTAATATATCCAAATATAGCTGGAAAAAATCTTGGATCATTAAGAGTTTATCCTTTGTCTGGATTATTAGAATCAAATTGGATTTTCCTTATAAACTTCCTGAAATTTACTCTTTTGTTTAACTAAATTTTGAGATATTTTTTTTCAAGAGTTGAAAATTTTTGATCCATTATTTAGTTATTAATTGTTATTAACCTGACTAAGTAGAGTAAAGGAAATTAATTTCCATCAGAAAGCAGTTGGAGTTTCACAAAACTTAATTTGTTGATAATTATAAAATTTTATAGTCTTCGAAAACTCAAACCATTTGATATTTAATTGAGCACAAATAATAAATTGTAAATATAATTAATGATACCCTCATTCTAATTTATTTTAATACTAGTGATAACTTATTTTACTTATTCCCAATAACCTATGATTTAAAACCATCCAAATTTTCAACCTTTCATTAATATTGTCTTACTGTATAACCTTGAGTAGCATTCATAATTAAGTTAAAGGGATCGTTTTTCAGAGAACAGACAAGTGTAGTAAATAGAGATGCAGTTCTCAGATATTTGATGAGGATGTTGAAAAATTTGTTAGTAAAGTAAAAAATAGTTTGAAAAAGATATTTCGAGAGATTGGTGTAATTAATGAATAAATGCCTTTCCCATTAAAGAAGTGAAATACCTTGAGTTAAAATTACAGAATTATTGGATTAACATCAATTACTCTAAACCTCTTTGGTTCAAAATTGATAACCAAATTATTTTTAAATTTTGTTCATAAACAAAACCTGCTAGGTTGTAGTGTAAGCTGCAAATTTTGGATAATCAAGCTTTTATGCCCAATTGTTAGATCAAACATTGGGGTATATCTTAAAAATACTATATTCATTGAATTTATTTTCGAATAAAATGTAGAAAAAATTGAAAGCTTTAAATTAATCATGAAAACATCCTAAATGAATACTAGCACTGTAAACGTAATATAATTATTATTTTCGAGCAGTATTTATCATAAATTATCATTATGAAAGCTCTATCTCTTTAAAGAAAAGTGTATAATCTAAGTAAAATGAANTTCAAGAATTTCTAATAGAAGACCAAGAACTACACAAAATAAGTGATTTTAAGTAAGTCCCCTTCATCAAAGCTGATAAGTATTTCTCCTCTGTTAAGATTTCAGAAAAGTGCATTTTCATTATCAGCAAACAAGATATTATAATCTTTTTCAGAACATTCTAAATAAATTTTATAATCTCTTCATCATCTTCATTGTTTTCAGGTATCAAAAATCTCCTTCAAAAATAACATTTTTCATTCTCAATTTACATTTTGTGCGTTACTGTTCAAAAAAAACAAATAGAATATTCAAAAATATTGCTTTAACTATGAGGCAAAAATTTCGATAAATTTATATTTTAGATAATTTTCATCTGCAGCAATAGGAATAATATAATTATCTACCAAGAATTGTATATAAAATAAAGGTAAAAATTTTTATGTCTATAAATTAATTGTTTAGTAATGGAATTCTTTATTAAATATATTAATTCTAACTCAGAATAGGATTCCACTTTACTTTTTTAAAACTTTTATTGTCTCATAAATAGAAAGATAACAAAATTTAATATTGTAGAAATCAACGAATATATCAATTAAGCTATTATTAATAGTTTTTCTTTCAATAAAGAATCATTATTCTAAATAGGTTAAGACTTAAGAAAATGAATGCTATGTTAAATTTTGATTTTATTTATTTTTATCCAAGATCTTTATGATTTTAATTCAAATTGAACTTGTTTAAAAGACAATGCACTTTATGATTATTTAGGTTGTTAGAATTAATATATCCAAATATAGCTGGAAAAAATCTTGGATCATTAAGAGTTTATCCTTTGTCTGGATTATTAGAATCAAATTGGATTTTCCTTATAAACTTCCTGAAATTTACTCTTTTGTTTAACTAAATTTTGAGATATTTTTTTTCAAGAGTTGAAAATTTTTGATCCATTATTTAGTTATTAATTGTTATTAACCTGACTAAGTAGAGTAAAGGAAATTAATTTCCATCAGAAAGCAGTTGGAGTTTCACAAAACTTAATTTGTTGATAATTATAAAATTTTATAGTCTTCGAAAACTCAAACCATTTGATATTTAATTGAGCACAAATAATAAATTGTAAATATAATTAATGATACCCTCATTCTAATTTATTTTAATACTAGTGATAACTTATTTTACTTATTCCCAATAACCTATGATTTAAAACCATCCAAATTTTCAACCTTTCATTAATATTGTCTTACTGTATAACCTTCAGTAGCATTCATAATTAAGTTAAAGGGATCGTTTTTCAGAGAACAGACAAGTGTAGTAAATAGAGATGCAGTTCTCAGATATTTGATGAGGATGTTGAAAAATTTGTTAGTAAAGTAAAAAATAGTTTGAAAAAGATATTTCGAGAGATTGGTGTAATTAATGAATAAATGCCTTTCCCATTAAAGAAGTGAAATACCTTGAGTTAAAATTACAGAATTATTGGATTAACATCAATTACTCTAAACCTCTTTGGTTCAAAATTGATAACCAAATTATTTTTAAATTTTGTTCATAAACAAAACCTGCTAGGTTGTAGTGTAAGCTGCAAATTTTGGATAATCAAGCTTTTATGCCCAATTGTTAGATCAAACATTGGGGTATATCTTAAAAATACTATATTCATTGAATTTATTTTCGAATAAAATGTAGAAAAAATTGAAAGCTTTAAATTAATCATGAAAACATCCTAAATGAATACTAGCACTGTAAACGTAATATAATTATTATTTTCGAGCAGTATTTATCATAAATTATCATTATGAAAGCTCTATCTCTTTAAAGAAAAGTGTATAATCTAAGTAAAATGAAATTTAACAGAGCCAACTGGAAGGTGATGTACAATATGAAGAAATCACAACTTGGTAAGGATTAAATATGCTGTATTCTTGTAAAAAGGAAATAAGTTTTAGCTTGAAAAATATAAATCGAAAGGAACCTCATTCGTACTTGAGATGAGTGTATTAGAAAGGAATCATAAGAAATGTTATCTTACATTTTAAAAAAAGGAATTAAGAATTTGATCGATTGATATTATGGTGTTTCATAATTTGGCGAGTTATCCATTTATGTAATCCTTATTATTTGATCCTTGGCGTAGAGCATCCAAATAAAATTGTTTAGCTTCTTCTTTCTACTGCAATTCAAATAATGAATCAGCTATATAAATATTTAATTTAAAAAGGTTTACCTTTTCTTTATAGTCTTACAGGATTAATGCAAATAGAAAGAGCTTAATTATAGCATTGAATCGCATCCTTATATTTCTTTAATTTATGTAATGCCAAGCCTAAATTATAAAATGGTTTACCTTTATTACTCCATGCTAAATCCAATTTAGGATTTATGGAAATAGCTTTATCGTAACACTCAATTGCTTCCTAATATTTTTATAGATCATCTAATGCAGAGCCTAAAAAAAAATAATGTGTCACATTACTTACCCTTATTGTTCCATGCTAAATCCAATTTAGGATTTATGGAAATAGCTTTATCGTAACACTCAATTGCTTCCTAATATTTTTATAGATCATCTAATGAAATGCCTAAACAATAATAATGTGTCACATTACTTACCCTTATTGTTCCATGCTAAATCCAATTTAGGATTTATGGAAATAGCTTTATCGTAACACTCAATTGCTTCCTAATATTTTTATAGATCATCTAATGAAATGCCTAAACAATAATAATGTGTCACATTACTTACCCTTATTGTTCCATGCTAAATCCAATTTAGGATTTATGGAAATAGCTTTATCGTAACACTCAATTGCTTCCTAATATTTTTATAGATCATCTAATGAAATGCCTAAACAATAATAATGTGTCACATTACTTACCCTTATTGTTCCATGCTAAATCCAATTTAGGATTTATGGAAATAGCTTTATCGTAACACTCAATTGCTTCCTAATATTTTTATAGATCATCTAATGAAATGCCTAAACAATAATAATGTGTCACATTACTTACCCTTATTGTTCCATGCTAAATCCAATTTAGGATTTATGGAAATAGCTTTATCGTAACACTCAATTGCTTCCTAATATTTTTATAGATCATCTAATGAAATGCCTAAACAATAATAATGTGTCACATTACTTACCCTTATTGTTCCATGCTAAATCCAATTTAGGATTTATGGAAATAGCTTTATCGTAACACTCAATTGCTTCCTAATATTTTTATAGATCATCTAATGAAATGCCTAAACAATAATAATGTGTCACATTACTTACCCTTATTGTACCATGCCAAATCATCTTTAGGATTTATGGGAATAGCTTTATCGTAACACTCAATTGCTTCCTCATACTTATTTAGATTATTTAATTAATTGCCTAAACAATAATAATGTGTCACATTACTTACCCTTATTGTTCCATGCTAAATCCAATTTAGGATTTATGGAAATAGCTTTATCGTAACACTCAATTGCTTCCTAATACTTATTTAGATTATTTAATGAAATGCCTAAACAATAATAATGTGTCACATTACTTACCCTTATTGTTCCATGCTAAATCCAATTTAGGATTTATGGAAATAGCTTTATCGTAACACTCAATTGCTTCCTCATACTTATTTAGATTATTTAATGAAATGCCTAAACAATAATAATGTGTCACATTACTTACCCTTATTGTTCCATGCTAAATCCAATTTAGGATTTATGGAAATAGCTTTATCGTAACACTCAATTGCTTCCTCATACTTATTTAGATTATTTAATGAAATGCCTAAACAATAATAATGTGTCACATTACTTACCCTTATTGTTCCATGCTAAATCCAATTTAGGATTTATGGAAATAGCTTTATCGTAACACTCAATTGCTTCCTCATACTTATTTAGATTATTTAATGAAATGCCTAAACAATAATAATGTGTCACATTACTTACCCTTATTGTTCCATGCTAAATCCAATTTAGGATTTATGGAAATAGCTTTATCGTAACACTCAATTGCTTCCTCATACTTATTTAGATTATTTAATGAAATGCCTAAACAATAATAATGTGTCACATTACTTACCCTTATTGTTCCATGCTAAATCCAATTTAGGATTTATGGAAATAGCTTTATCGTAACACTCAATTGCTTCCTCATACTTATTTAGATTATTTAATGAAATGCCTAAACAATAATAATGTGTCACATTACTTACCCTTATTGTTCCATGCTAAATCCAATTTAGGATTTATGGAAATAGCTTTATCGTAACACTCAATTGCTTCCTCATACTTATTTAGATTATTTAATGAAATGCCTAAACAATAATAATGTGTCACATTACTTACCCTTATTGTTCCATGCTAAATCCAATTTAGGATTTATGGAAATAGCTTTATCGTAACACTCAATTGCTTCCTAATATTTTTATAGATCATCTAATGAAATGCCTAAACAATAATAATGTGTCACATTACTTACCCTTATTGTACCATGCCAAATCATCTTTAGGATTTATGGGAATAGCTTTATCGTAACACTCAATTGCTTCCTCATACTTATTTAGATTATTTAATTCCACACCTATTATAAATCAAATTAATATACCTTGATTTAATAATCTTTGAGCATCTTCAAAATTCAACTAGTTTTTTTGATCTTCACTCTATTAATTAACTATAGTATCCTTTTGACAACCAGAATCTATTTATTCTTCCATTTTAGTTTAGTCTGCTAACATCTTCTTTAATGTATCAAGAATATTATTGAATTGTATTATTTGTTATTCTATTAATATTATATATGAATAAACAAAGATACATTTGCAGTTTTCTTTTTCCTTGGAATAAAACTGTTTTATTATATGTATTTATGATTTACAAGCCAAATACTCTTTGTTTTAAAGCTGTTGAGTCATATTTTCTAATGTACTAATTTCTTGATCCAATTGTTTTTAAATTTTTGCAACATTGTTCTATAATTGTATATAGACATCTTTGAATTATATCCTTAATTGATTGTTCACTTGTATCAATTCTTTCATAAATTAGATCATTTTTGTGAATCTAATACAATCATTGAAATGTTCTGAATGTGGTGAATCTTTAGTATTTAAACATTCAAAACAATATTGAGTTGTATTTTAACAATCCCCATTCAAACAAAATCCAATAACTTCTTCATTTTCATGAGGAACATATTTACACTTAAACAGATCCATTTAAGTATAAACAATTTAAATAAATAATTATCTTTCTCACTTAAATATCCCTAATTATTAATATACATTAATTAATTTATTATTCTCTAATCAATAAATTATCAATAAAAATTTATAATCATAATTCAATTATTTATAATTAATTATACTTTACAGTGATATATTTATGATATTAATTGAAAAAATTATTCTGCAATTTGTGTAATTAATTATATAAAATTTAGCCTCATCTTGTTTCGTTTAAAGATTGCATCACCAGATCTCAAATAATAACTTTGCTTTATCTTTAGAAAGAAATTTTTACAGAAGTAAATAACCTCACAGCTTCTATATAAATTTTCTGTGGTGGTGTTTCATTTTAGAGCATATGTTCATTAGGAGTAACCTAAATATGTAAATCTGATTATATTTTACTAACAATGCTGTTAGCCAAATATTTATTACTAGAGATATTAAAGTTCGTTAAATCTTCAAAATGAAAATCTAAATGATATTTTTTATTAGACTTCAAAAGATTGTTGATTGCTTTTTAAGTGTTTTATTGAAGCTGCGTTTATTATAGGCCTAAAGTTAAAAAACACCTCGAGAATATTAAGTAATAAGATTTCAATATTCTATTTACTGCAATTATTTAGATATATTGTTAATCTGGGTTATGAATTGCATTCCCCATTTATTTTTTCATTAATTGCTATTGTAGATATTTCATTCTCAATAATTAAAATTGATAGAGATCTTATTAATATTAATGAAATTCATCTCTAAATGTGATATATAAGCCTATGAGAAAGTAATTCATTATAACCTTAATATAATCAAAAAAGAGAATAGCAGGATTTGACATCATCATTCTAACATCTTACCGTAAACTGAGCTTTCTTAGAGTATAGCTGATAAAGTCTGCTTGAAAAATCTAGCTTAGATTATGAGTATTTTCCCTGAAAGTAAATGTTTGGTATCATTCAAAAAAAATGTTATTTGAAATAAATATTAATCGGGGTTGTGTAACTTGAAGTATGGATTTGCAGATTTCAAAGCAGGGTAGGTCTATAGCTATAAATTTTTGTTTTAGGAATACAATTCTACTCTTTAATTTCCTTTTTCAAAAATGGCTGTAATCTTAAGAGCTTAATGTGCATTCATCATTTATCAATGAATAGATTCTAAATTGCTATCTATAAGATATTATTATGCAAGAAATATTTATATTTTTTGGATGTTCTTCATTTTGCACAAGCACTTCATAAATTTTAGGAGCTACTTCTATTTATTATATATTAATTTGATAATTAATTTACAACAATAATTAGTATCTATAAAAATATCGTATATGTATTTGGAAAATAGTCAAGGAAGCTCCAAAATAGAAGAAAAATAAATGATCTAGACAGTTTTTTTATAATAAATCAACCATTATAAATAGCATTTGTTTAAAGTAGTAGTAACTAAATAAACCAATTTATTGGAGTAAGCCAATAGACTGATTCCTATTTAGATAATAATGAGTGTATTCAAGATTGAACAATAAAACCAATATGTATTTCAAGGAATACGAAAAGAAATTCATAAGGTTTCTCTATTATGATATGGCACTGCAACTAATGACTCACATTGCCTTTAAACATTTTTAGTAATTCTAAATAGATTTACTCAATATTAATATTAGCTATTAGAGTTCCTTCTTTTTTTATATACGATTCAAGTTACTCTTCATCTCATCGATTATCTCTGTACAATAAATCATAACTGAGAATGGCTGGACACTTTGAAATACAATGAGAAAGAAATTGAAATAAACTATTTCCTTAATTATTAATATTTCTTCTCTCTTTTATTTTAGCTGTCAAAATTTGAAAAAAACAATACAAGAAATAATTAAAAATAACTTGCATTTAGAGAATTAGTGGAATTTTGTTTAAAATAATAATTTTTAATTCTCATAAACTTTGATACTCATTTATTGAACCAAATTGTTATTACATATAAATTAGAGGTTTATTAATAATATTGATAATTCGAAATGATATTTATTATCAGTTAATTACAATTTCGTATTACTTTATAGTTTAAGTTTATACTATTTAAGTTATCTAAATCGATGTTGAAGTAGCTACTAACCTAAGTTATGATTCTTATTTTATTGCCCTTTCCAAAACCACCAAGGAGTTTAATACATTAAATCGTTTTGTATTACAAACAGCTGTTCCTGTTTTGTAATCTGGGTATCCGCTTTGTAATATAGTAATGGAAAAATTTAGATCAGTTTAAAAACATTTCCAAATGATTGAGATTGTCAATTTTTCAATTGAAGAGTCAACAGTTATTGTTTCATCAAATTCAGGATATAGAGTGATCCCGAGTTCAGATATTACCAATTTATTTTACAAGGATTGATCAAATGAATATAATGTTGTTTAAATATGCTTAGTTCCTATGAATGAAGGTAAACTAAAGGTCTCAATAACAGAATAGCTGCATTCCTGTATAATTCCGTAAAATAATTAAAAATTTCTGATTCCCCAAGATTCATTAAGTGCATTTTCATTTAAAGTAGTGGTCATAACTAAATTGATAGTTGGGTTACTGTGAACAAATTCAAAATCCAAATATTTTGCACAAGAATTAGAAGTAGTTGATCCACAAATTACTTGAACTCCAGTAAATCCAAACTATTCTTAGTAAACTCGATTTCCATTTGCATATACTTGAAACCATTCATTATCCCAAGTATCAAATTTCCAAAATTATACTTTGACTCTTACTTTTGTATGTTTAGGCAAATCCATAGTTTAGGCTATTTCAGAATCCTTAGAGAACAATGAGTACCCTCCTACTAGATTGGTATTAGCACATATTTAAAATGGAGATTGATTATAGTAAATATTTGATATAGTCCAACCAGGTTGAGTTTGAAAATCTTAAGGTTAGAAATATTGTTATAAACCCAAGATCCATTTTACTAAAATATTATTTTTAAATATACCATCTAAACACTCATTATTTCAATATCTATATCCAGGTTGACAAGATTAACAGTCATTTTTTTTTGATCCAGAACAAGTAAGGCATGTGTCATCGCATTTTGCTAGAAATAATCTAAAGCCTCGTAATCCCCAAAAAGCATTTGTAGCAATAAGGTCAGAATACATACAAATTTACAGACTATCAGATGTATGAGTCAACTCCTGACGAATGTCTAATGACTTTTCGCCCCCATTACTATCACCACAAAGAGGAAAAACCTCATATTAATTAAAAACTTCTTCTTAAATTTTTGCCCATCAATCTCTAAAGTGAATTTATTATTATTCCAAAAGTCAAATTTCCAAAACTGAACCTATAATATTAGTTTATAATGTGGGATCAAAGATGTATATTCTTTGCTAACTATTAATTTCCTGAAATAAGACCAACTCCTCCCATTACCGTCATGTTGACACATAGGCTGATGCCAACAAACTATTAATTATTAAGAAGCCACCCATCAAAATTAAAACTGTCAAACCAATTCACTTCTATTGGTATGTAATATAAGCATTCATCAGGTGTATCATTACTACATCTTATACAGCCTGGTGAACACAGGACTACCTCCACTATAAAATTTCTAAATCCCCAAGATTCCTTGATTAATTCTATGAATACATTATAAGGAATTTCACCTAAATTAGTTTTGATTATTACAGCAAGCGTGGGTTCTTAGTGCAAAAATTCGATTTTTTCTTCTACTATAACTTCTTTCCATTCGTTCGGATGTTCTGGATTCCCGCATTTAACATCTCCCGTATCCCAATACCAAGTCCCAGTTTAAACTTTATCATCTAGTATAAAATATTTTGTTATTTATAATTATCACAATATGATGTTCAATGCAAATTTGTACATCCCTCTTTAATAGCTTTAAGTTCAATTTCAGTTGCAGTTGTTTGGGAAATAGTCGATTTCCAATTAGTAGTCAGAACCTGAGAAGCAAACTATATAAGTAATGCATCTGATATAATGTAACCATGACTACAATGGTCTATTACCTAGAATAATATAATTAATTACAGTTTATCCATATTTACAAGAACATGTAAGACCCAAATAACCTGATTAGGTAAATTGTTTCTATTGCTATTCATCTGTTGAATCATAAATTGAAGAGACAGCATCGCCACTGTATTGTGAACAATATTCAACTAATTTGGTTGGAATATTGGTTTATCCATTTTTTTGTTCATAAATCCACATGATGGCTGGTGTCATAGCAGATGAGGCAAGAACAGTTGCATCGCCATAAGCTTTATAAATATGATCAGGTAGATAGAAATCATCTGAAGAATCAACAATTGGTTAAGGCTGTTTATCATATTCGAATTGGGCTGGAGTTAATTGATTAGCTGCATAAATAACTACCATGGGAACTCCTGGATGTTCAAGATTATCAGCCTTGACTCTTTTAGTTTCTTAAACGTAATCCAATAACTGTTAAAGAGCATCAGAATTAATGTTGTCTGAAAGTGCCTCAATCATAGATTCTTCAGTAGAATAATACAGTTTATCGACAACCCTTAAGAAGTGTTCACTCATATCACTCATTAATAGTTAGCAATGATTTGATCTTTCTTCAAAATCAGCACCACAAACTTAATCAGGTTCAGGGAACCAATTCAAAGGGTTAGGTCTTGAAGGTCGTTTGCCTGTAGATATAAATTCTTTATCCCATTTAATTCTATCTAATATTTGTTGCATCCAAGTCTCTGATCTAAATCTAAAATAAGTATCTTTAGGATAAAGATCAACAACACTAGAGGAAGTACGTGACATCTTTCTTTGAGCATACCAATTAATGCCAGCATCAATGGATAGAACTTTAAACATGTAACTATCATCTCCTCCTACTTATGGTTTGAATGTTTTCGTAGCCCCTAATAGTGGACCGGCCATAGTAACAATACCAGCTACTTTTTACTTTTCTTCTGGTGTCATATTATAGATTGCCTCAGTTGCATGCAAAGATCCTAAGGAATGTCCAAATATATATGTAGTTTTGCCAGTCAACTTATGGAATGTTTCAATAGATTTCTTGATGTATTTTTGTGATTCTGAAGCTACAATTGATTTTCTAAAATCATATGGTGCAGCTTGCATAGTCAAACCTGGTATGTATCCCATATTTTTTAAAGTGTCAGAAAATTTATGATATCCCTTAGTGTCACACATTGATGATTTGATGATTGAATCAGTAGAAAGTTCTTAGATAGCTGTAGTTCCACATTCTGCATCAGCACTCTAAGGAGTATTCCCATGCCAAGTGATAGATATACCAGGTGCAGCTGAATACCTCTCTTTTGGATCCTTTTTTGATTTATCATAATATAGTTCAATAAAATCACCAAAACATTTACTTTTCTTATTTGTCATTGCAATTGTAAATGGACTATTTATGGATCCCATCCATAGTCTATATTCTTCATTCGGTTTCTTTAACCAAAACTTAGATGCACTGCATGTTTACCAACCGCAATTTTCGAAGATATCTGGTCTTTTTGCTTACAATGTTTCACAATCAATTTTAACCTGTATACATATAGAATAATATTATTACTTGTAAAATTGTTGCTATTATTCCAGGTACCAAGATAGCAGGTTGACATGGACCTGCAATGAATTCGTTAATATAGGCTTACAAGCTCAATTAACTTGGATCTTTTCCATTTGTACATACATTTGCAGTACTTTCTAAAAATTCCTTCATTTATTCTTTTCTCTATCTCTCTTACTCTTAATAAATTTGTTCATGGTACTCTCTATAGTGTTCACTCATATTAAATACTCAAATTCTGACTAAGGTTTCCAATCTGGATCAGACCTCCTAATTCTATTGATTTTTCCATCGACGGATACAATAAATGTATCATCTTCGAACCAAGGATTTCTATCGGTGTTATCCAAATACGGTGCAATTGAAATTATTCCTATTGTCACTACAGCAAGCAATTATTTAATCATTCAATAAATATTGTATTTCCTTATCATATGATATCAATTCAAAAATTAGCATCATATTCGAC